GGGGGGGGGGGACGCGACGGTTTAAAGGTACGATCGGTGAAAATCGAAACTGACTTTAATCGGAAAGCTGGAAATTAAACGCGGGTAAATAGAAACGTAATTCGAATTCGGCTTTTGTTTTCGGATGCGCGTGAAATTTGAGCAAGGTTGTGAGTAAATTGGCAGCACGGTGAGTTTTTTTTCTCGTACCGTGAAAGTAAATTGCTTCTAGTTTTTCAGATAAAACGTGGATAAAAAGCGGCGCTAGTTGTAGTTAAAATGGAAGAAAAAATATAGTCGATCGTTAGAATAGCCGTCGGAATACTCTCGAGAAAAGTTTATTCACGGTATTGATCTTTAGTCCGATCTCGAATTTCTTGATGATCGATAAGGTTGATTCGTTGCCGCGGTTACTATTTACGTATATTATTAATTCGTTAATACCATATCAGCCAAAACTCGGCGAGTACGATAAAAATTCTTACGGCATCTTATTCCCGTCTATACTCATCAGCCAGCGGAGGCAATTCGACGTTTTATAGAGCGGAATATCTTTACGTGTTCGTTCGGCTGCATTTGCATTCCATGTTCTCGCTTATCGATCCAGAATGGCTATATAGTTTCGATCGGTTGAAAACCCGTTCTTTCTCGTTTTCTTTTTTAAGGGGGCGAACTAAAAGAAGGGGGAGGAAAGAAAGCGGCGCGTCGAGAACGAAAAATGGGGTTGCTCGTAACCGAGCTTCTCCTCTCCTGCCGCTGGCCTGACGCGAGGAGAAAGCGTAAGCTTTCGCTCGTTAAAATTCCTAATAACGTAAATAACGGTGACGCGATGTCGAGGATAACGAGGCAATTTCCGGCTACGTTCGACCGCGTTCGAATTCTGCGATTCTCTCTCGTCGTTCTCCAGCAACGAGTGGCCGTTCGTAAGACACAAACTTGATAAAGCTTCGCTTGTCCTGAATTTTCCTACGTTACTTCACGCTGATTGCGGTTTAAGCCGTATCCTCCAACGTCGATGCGGATTTAACGCGTATATCGAGCCTCGTGTACGTCGCGTTGCTTAGCGAACAGAATTCTCGCGGGACTTTTAGTTTACGAGCGATCGGTTCAAATATTTATATTCGGTCTTGTTGCCTTGATCTCTGGTTAATCCGTAGATTGTCGAACGCTTTTCTCCGATCAAGCAATTACGTATATCGCGTCGATACGCGTTCGAAATAAAAAAGCAAAAGGTTTCAGCAGCTTTCAGTCGATGGGGCTGAATAAATGAAAATAATTAGGAAAATCTTTGTCGATGCTATAGTAATTGGTCATTTTCTCTTAGCGACCTACCCTCTTAGAAAATATCGTGTTTCATAAGTAGACAAAGAATCAGCATACGCCGTACTTATACCTGTACTTAAACTTATTTCAATGTATTCCTATCGCGCGTTCATCCACGCGTTCCTCGATCGGATAACCTCAACACAGATGATATCGTGTTAAAGTTATACGATAACGTTACATCGGTACTTTATATAAATAGCGATGATTTTCTCTTAAATAATCTTGCAATCCATAAAATACTCGAAAGACGCGGCACCGCAACGCTCGCATAAACAGCCAGGGAAAATTGTTAGCCTTCCTCGGAACCATCCATTCGATGGCACGATAACAACTATTCCCTTCTTTCTACCATTCTGCCAGTCATTTCGTCCCTTTAATAAACACGTAATTCCTCCTCGAAGATCGATGTCAAAGTTCCGATATGCTCATCCGCTTTTCCACTATTAGGAAAACCGCAAGTCAGACTAGCTGGATTCCGTTTAACTTATCCGGACGGTTTCTTTCGTGTTTACGAATCTCAGCCGCGAATTATTTACCTCGGAGACGGAGTCGGAAATAATCGTGGCCTGCGTGCGAAGACGATCGTCGGTGGTGATTCTCTTCGAAAGTGCAATTGATCGCGCAGGCCAAGTATCAGAGAATGCAGTTGTACGGACTCGAGGCGTACGTGGTGGACCGTTCCACCGTTTCCAGTCAGAGAGAGAGAGGGCTGTCTGTTGCTGCCAGCTTAGACAAAGAGAACATCTCTACCGTCTCTATTTTGACCCTGGTTTCTACGCGGACCGTCTCTGTATTTCGTCTGGTTCGGCTCGCACTCGACTGGCATGCGAAAGAGACGAAGACGCAGGGGTGGCAGCAACAACGGCGAGCAACGTCGAGGGATGGACGGACGAGGGTGGAAAACACGAGCCTCTTCTCTGGAACAGGGAGATGCCGTCGGACGAAAAGGAATCGTGGCTTAGGTAGGAGAAGGCGAAAGTAGGAGGAGAGCGGAGAAGCGGCGTTCTCGATGAAGGAGATGGAAGAGAATCAACGAGCACGCGAAGATGGTGTCGAGAAGAATCGTGGGAGGCAAGTGTGACGGTACAGTTCGAAGAGGAGGAAGAAGAAGAGAGAGAAAAGAGGAGGAGAATAGGGAGCAGTCGAAGAGAAGCAAACGGGGAAGATGGAAGAGGGAGAAAATTGAGCAGAAGAGCGGCAGAGAAGGTGAAAGAGGGAGGAAAGTGGAAAGAGGAGGAGGAGGAGGAGAACCGGAACGACCCGGGGGTTGCCGTGGCGTTATCGACCGGACTGGTGGTCGGTACGAAACCAGGCGTCGGCGCCGTGGATGCCCCGGCTTCCTCAAGTGCCGGACCATCCTCCACCTCCACCGTTACCACCACCACCACCGCCTCCACCACCACCGACT